GAGCGTTCCTTTTTCTAGCGATTACTCTTCGAGAAATCCGTATTAGTAGTAGTATCACAGCTCGGGTGAATACGGTGACATGTGGTATTGCGCTGTCAGTTGGAGTGTCACCGAATACAGCGACTTCATCGACTACATCATCATTCTTGATTTCTGAAGAAAAAGAAATTCCACAACGAACCTGTTTCACAATTCTTCCCCATGAATCCAGCAGGGCAGTCGCAAAACCCGGTGAGACGATCACATGTCGCGCCATTCGAGCACTCACACTCACTACCGCAGCCAGATCCCCATCTGAAATGTTCTTCAGTAAGAGGGCATAAATTCCAATGGCTCTACCACGAAACTGAGAAAATTCTGCTAATTCAAAAGAAGAAATTGTTCTCCAATTTTTACCTTCCAGGAGGACATGGTGTCGCACAATCCGGTCCCGTCCATCCTGGAGGACAACGGCAGTCTCCAGTAATGTGATCGCAACGTGCAACAAATGGGTTGTACAGTGCAGTATCATCTATTGAAAAATTTGAAATAGAGTGGGACTGAAAATCAATAAGTTTTCAAAACATACTTGTTGTAGCACAGTCACAAATGAAGCGGCACTCGGCACCATAACGTCCGTCAGGGCAAGGTCGATCACATCTGAACAAAAATGTGGGATTGTATTTCAATCAATATAATCTCATGACGATCCAAAAAACCTCATCCCGCCTAGGGTCCAATTGCCAAAATTTTTACGACCCCTCCTTTAGGAGGGGGTGTTCGATACGACCCCTCATCACCACCATCAGCCTCAAGGGTGTCCCCCAATACAACCCCTCCCCCACCCGCTTTCCCATCACCAACCACCACCCTCATTCCCTCCTCACCATAGCTGTTTCTAGAGCATCTGATTCCGGGACCAGCCGAAATAGTCCAACTCCGCCTACTTTTCCCTCCTAAAACCCAAACAGCCTTCGATCGAGAAGGTGTACGGGAGGGGTTATTACATCTAATGAATAGCTTCATCCTCACTGCAGCTTACTTTTTGAACCTCCATCGAAATTATCAGAAACCTGTCAAAACCGAAAGCGCTCCCACACCTTGAGGTTATGATTGTATAGGTGTGCTCACTGAACTCGAAACTTATAAAAAAGATGTGCGAGAGAAAATGCACTATCAACTTGTGCGTTTCGCTGTCTCCCGATCAAATAAATAGATTGCGAGGTATCCGCTTAGGCAATTCAACCCACCAATCGTAACAACTTACCGTTTTCCTCTCCAGCCGGGAGTGCATGTGCAAGCTCCAGAAACGGCGTCACAGGTGGCGCCGTTGGCACAAGTACAAACGCCTCGACAGCCAGCGCCAAAATGTCCCGGCTCGCAATCTGAATTCGAAATATCGTCACTTTCCTCTTTCACAGAACAACACAAATAACAGTAACTATCACAGACTGAGAAACTCATTGTCCCATTCTCCTCTTGCCGGAGGAAACTAACTCAAGCTAAGTGCTATGATGGCATAACACTTTAGATAACTCGACCCTCCCGATTAAATCCCGGTCTAACTCAAAACACCTCCATCTCTTTGGTGCTTCTCAGATGCCTGTTTTTTATTACCCGTTTCGTCTGGGAGGGCAAAACAGGCTTTGTACATCGACTAGCACCCGGAATTCATTGTACATATAATTTTGTGCACCAATACATACGGCTTTCAACAGAAAGCGGGAAGCATTGCTCGAAGATGACACCCCCAAAAGTTTTGTATAATTTACTATATTATTGGTAGCGACATTTGGGGGAGGTCATGTGACGGGAAGCGGTGCCACTCACCACGCGCACAGGTCGGAATCGTACAAATCGTTTCTACCAATTAACCGACCCTGGAAGGGTATGGAAGGCACTCCAAGCCTTCCATACCCTCCAGGGTCGGTTAGTTGGTAGAAAATTTGTCTGAGATGGCAGCCAGTACGATTTTGAATGAAAGTAGGATACGTGGTGCATCCTTACAAGAGATCAGTCAGAGCCGAACACCGTACTCCTTACCGTTTTTCTTTGCTATAGTTGAGCAGGTGTCCGGTTGTTAAAGCCAGCTGCACTTAGAAAAGAAGGTGCGGAATTATGTTCATTACCTTGTTCACATTTAGCTCCTCTCTTGCCAGGAGGGCAGATGCATTCGCCATCAGACGGATCGCAGTGCATACCATTGGCACAATCGCAACGTTGCAAGCAGTCCTGCAACAGCAATAATAATGAACTGTGCTAAAATATTGGGCTGTCCGTAATATTCTCGCGGAATTTGGACCCTGGATCTCATGTGCGCAATTCTTAATCCCCACATCTTTGCTGACAATGACAAGTTTGACCAATGTGGCAGCTAAAAGTGCTGGAGTTCTTGAGGCGATGAACTCGGCGACGGTCGCTCCACCATCTTATTGGGGCTTGCCAGCATTTTTTTCAAAAAAGGTACCCAGAAGGGTGGATAAGTGGCAGTCGGTAGCAAGGGGTCTTATGAGTGAGACCATCGCAGTGGATTTTGACGAAAAGAAAGTTCAAATTGTGCAAGTATCGTATGCGATGTAAGGAGGAGCCATTTTCGTCGGAAAGAGCGGTACCTATGTAGTTCTTTCGTCCGTCAATTTCTTAATGCTATTCAAACTCCTCCCAACCCTCTTTCGCACCCCCTCTCTTTTTCACATTATTCTGAATCACATTTCAGTTACGCATCTAAAATTTTTCCCAATTTCTTCTGATTTCTTCTCCTATGTAATTGCTCTGCCATATCCCTATTGTTACTCCGTTTTTATTCACTATCGTATAACTTCGTACTTGTAACAATACGAAATTATACTAATACAGTAGCGGTCAAAAGTCTTCGCCGAAATTGTTTTTCGACTGTAACTTTTTTTCCGCTGAATCAAATCAATTCAAATTTTAATATGTTTTAGAGATAGTCCTACTTCACTTAAACGGCATATTTGTTTCGGATTGAGAAAGAATTAAGAATGGAAAAAATCATTTCACTAGAAATTCTCGCGTATGAGCAAATTCCAAGTAGGTTTCAAATTACTCTAGCAAGCTTACAATTCAACAAAACAATCTTACGCATGATGAATAACACTGGGCAGGTCCAATACTTTGTTAATGATCTTCTGGGTTCGCTGAAATACTAACAAGGCCTAAGTAAGGAATCAGTCATTGAATGCACTGTCTACTAGGGCAGCTTCCTCCACTTCTCTTGAAATTTGACGAGTTTCTCGCCCATATTCCCGGTTCTAATTTCCACCAAAGGTATCCCTACTCTTTCCCATAATGTTTCGATGGCGCTCGGGACATTGGTGTGAATTGTTCCTTTCGTTGAAAGCGCGCCACAAAACATCCTATACACAATGGTCGCTCCTATAAAAGAAGACACTCCAGTCCACTACGAGTTTCATACGAGCGATGCAACTCCATTCTAGAAAAACTGCCTTCACATATTGGAATCACGCGCAAGTTAGTAAGAATACGGCAGCGAAATGTGCCTACGCCACAACCCCTCAAAAGTGGGGATCCCCATAGGCTACAAAAAAAAACAAACGAATAAGTAAATTCAAGATGTTTGCGGCGACTGAAATAGAATAAAAAATAAAGATTCAAAAATAACAACAATGTAAACTTGCCGCGGAAAGCTCTCTGTGGCATAACGTATACAAGAACGTTTTAACACTGCACAAGGAATTAAAAACTAAATTGAAATACCCAATGAGGGTATATAGATTCTAGAAGAAGTTCCAGATCTGAAACTAACAATTATATAAGAGTATCGCCTTCTACATAATATAGAAGCGCAAAAGCGATGCACTATCGAAATGATTGGTCCTATTCGACGCATGCGCGCTTATCAACGGAAAAGACTAATCCACATGCGCACCAACAAAAACAATTGGTCACGAAGCCAGCGATCGAACATTATTCTTATATTAACAAAGTATAGTACACTCCCAGTAGTATTAACAATAACTACATCATAACTTCGTATATTGTATGAGAATAACGAATAATTACTTGATTTTGCATACGCGAGAATTTCTAGTGAAATGTTTTTTTTCATTCTTAACTTCTCTTCTCAATCCGAAACAAATATGCCGTTTAAGTGAAGTAGGACTATCTCTAAAACATATTAAAATTTGAATTGATTTGATTCAGCGGAAAAAAAGTTACAGTCGAAAAACAATTTCGGCGAAGACTTTTGACCGCTACTGTAATATATCGCTGTGTGTGTGTGTGTGTGTGTGTGTTGTGTGTGTGTGTGTGTGTGTGTGTGTGTGTGTGTGTGTGTGTGTGTGTGTGTGTGTGTGTGTGTGTTGTGTGTGTGTGTTTTGTGTGTGTGTGTGTGTGTGTGTGTGTGTGTGTGTGTGTGTGTGTGTGTGTGTGTGTGTGTGTGTGTGTGTGTGTGTGTGTGTGTGTGTGTGTGTGTGTGTGTGTGTGTGTGTGTGTGTGTGTGTGTGTGTGTGTGTGTGTGTGTGTGTGTGGTGTGTGTGTGTGTGTTTTTGTGTGTGTGTGTGTGTGTGTGTGTGTGGTGTGTGTGTGTGTGTGTGTGTGTGTGTGTGTGTGTGTGTGTGTGTGTGTGTGTGTGTGTGTGTGTGTGTGTGTGTGTGTGTGTGTGTGTGTGTGTGTGTGTGTGTGTGTGTGTGTGTGTGTGTGTGTGTGTGTGTGTGTGGTGTGTGTGTGTGTGTGTGTGTGTGTGTGTGTGTGTGTGTGTGTGTGTGTGTGTGTGTGTGTGTGTGTGTGTGTGTGTGTGTGTGTGTGTGTGTGTGTGTGTGTGTGTGTGTGTGTGTGTGACGAAATATCACGTTTCATACCACGCTTCGCAGCAGTCGTTAGGAGCTGATTTTGGTTGTGTGTGTGTCACGACCAATTCATAGCACGCTTCGCAGTCAGTCGTCAGGAGCTGAATTTTGGGACCATGATGGTGTGTGTGTTCAACGAAATTCATCAGCACTTCGCAGCAGTCTCAGGAGCTGATTTTGGGAACAAATAGGGGGTGGGACGGGAACATATTTGTGGGGGTCACAAAGTGATAACGACTGATATGAGCAGATAAGGCGCTGAAACACAAATTTCACGAAATTCATAGTGCGCTTCGCAGCAGTCGTCAGGAGCTGATTTTGGGACATGATATAGGGGGTGGGACGGAAACATATTTGGTGGGGGTCAAAAAGTGATAACGACTGATGAGGACTGATAGTAACGATATGCGTACGAACGTAGAGAGCACTTGAAATAGAAAATAGAGAGCAGATTGTAGATAATGCCTTTCATTTCAATATCATTTCATCAGCGTTGTAATTGTAAACTCAAACACCTTTCGACCGCTACACCTTCTAGAGTTCTTGAGGATGAATGGGATGCTCGAATAAATATGACCAGATTAGTCCCCCGTCAACCGCCGGGACCTTCCTTTCCTGCGCAAGCTTTCTATCCTCCGCTATGGTCCCTTCCTCCTGTGACACCAACACCTCCTGGAAGTGACGCGTATGCAACACAATGGTGTTTCATACAGTAGAAGGGACACAATCATGATATGACGGTAGATTTTTCGCTTCCCTTCCTCATCCTCCCTTCCTCTCTCCACTGCCCTCCAGCTGCCACTGCAGCACCATGTGGAATGAACGGAAGTGTGCTAAGCAGGTGTTTATATAGCCCTAAGAGTGTTATCACAACTATCCTGCTACAAAACATTGATATCTCAAATCCTGTAAGCTACCCGATTTGTTAGCGGTTTGTTTATCCCATGAGCTTCCTTCTCACTCACTTCATTTTGCGGACGGACACACATACATACATACACACACACACACACATACAGATACACAAACCGACACACAAAGTTAGCGCTTTATAAAATAGAAGGATATGAATACTGGCATTCCGTTTTGAGATATTCGACCGCTAAATTACCTCGATACTCGACGCATAGTGGTTGTTTACATCATCACTTTAGCTGTGCACTTTCACTGCGCTTATCAAACAGTGAGATAAGCCAAGATGGGCAGCCTATGCAACGGACAGTAAACATTTAACGAAGCAGCTATAATTTAGCGGTGAAACCTAAAGCTTCATCGATTGTCAGTTCTATCAATGCGCGCGGTAGCGGGCGGAGCTAATCTGGTTAAATAAACACAACAGAAAAATACCCGCTGGGGCGAAAACTCACGGTGATCAGTTGTAAGGAATTATCGATCTGGAAACATAAGCATTTGCTGACGCTCTTGCTTAACCTTGAGCAAAGGGTGGACAATGCCAACTCCCCATCGATGTCGTGACCGTATTATTTGAAAGTCGCATGGACACCCCTACCACCAATCGTGTTAACTGTTCTGCGCTTAACGTGTTTCATACATTGCAGATGCTAAACTTGCATGATGCTTAGTGCTCCGAACGCTCCTTGGCACAACACTGCGACTCCTCCACAGATGGCTGTCAATTCGTTGGCGCAGAGGTTTGATTAAAATGTCCTCCAAAAGTCAATAAAAACCGTTATGGCCGCTTGATATTGATTAAAGAATTTGCCGATCGTTATACCCCTTTTCCAAATGCGAATCCGTCCCTCTGGCCTCAGCTCTTCGAACATGTTTTTCTCCTTCCTCGCAATTGTCTCCCGTGAAACCCGGTCGGCATTCACATTTTCCGTCCACAGGGCTGCACATGGCTCCATTTTGGCAGTCGCATAGTTTCATACAATCGGTGCCGTACCGGCCAGCTGGGCAGACTGAAACACTAACCCTTACCATGCGCTGAAGAACCTAGTTCTATAATCCTATTCATTTCTGATCAATTAGGCATCAATTTCAACTATTAAACGAGACCGGCAGAGGGAGCCTAGAAAGGAAGTCCTTCCTTAAAGCAACAGTCCAGGCAGGGTTTCAACTACTTGGTCATTAGGCGGTCAAAACATGCCCCAGCCCAACTAAAGTTTATAGGAAATGTCTTTAATTTCAAAACCTACCTCTAAAATGCGCTGGAAGGGGTCGAAGTCCTCTTGGAGGGGGCGGATCACCCATACCGAGGCGGATCGCCCAACATACGCTGTGCAGAGTCCGTGCTTGACTAGCGGTCGTTGCGGGACCGCCGCGCTGTATGAGGTCGATTCCATAAGAACGCAATTGAAGCGCTTCAATTTCGATTGCTGGCAAATAGTTATGTATTTGCAAGCATGCAGCTATTTGCCAGCAGTTGCAATTAAAGCGCATGTACTACGGGCAGGTTCGGACAACTCGTCCAACACACGTCTCCCTAAACGGCAGGGCATGTCCCTGTCTAAGCCCCAGTTGGGCGTTTTCTTCACTTTTTCTCTTTACGTTCGACCACTTTTCACCTACAACTTCCATATAGGTGCTTTTGGCCCGCAAATTCGTTCCTGGACTGTTGCTTTAATCTTTCCCGAATTCAACCAATTTAGTCAACCAATGATTTAATTCAACCTTTGTTCCCAAGTCGATACACGGAAAGGCAGCTATTCCCATAGACCCTTGCGTATTTCAAGGCAAATATTCTATTCTATCTATCAATATTGGGCGGAAGAGGTGTAGTGGCAAGTGGCGCTGCTTACCACGCGAGCGGTCCGGGGATCAAATCCTGGGTCGTGAGTCGCCCGGGCCAACCAAGCCTTCCATCCCTCCGGGGTCGGTTAATTGGTACCAGACTTGTCTGGGAGGATAAAAACACTGACTTGTACATCGGCTGGCCCCCGCAAGTCATTGTATAGGCCACATCGCATTCAAACGCCACTACGAATGTACAAATGGAAGTAGAATGCGTGCCGCATCCCAAAAAGGGATTGATCAACGGCAAAAGCTTTATCCTTTATCCTTTTTATGCCAATATTATTGTGTTTAAAATGCGATGAGCAATACATCAACGCAAACCTTCACTGCAGCTTGCTCCATAAAATCCTGGAGGGCAGATACACGAGCCATCCTTGGCGTTACACTCGGCTCCCGTTTTGGCAGACACACTCATGTGCGCAGTTTGGACCATAAAGGCCGGCCGGACAAGCTAAAAATTATTTAACAGTCAACAAATGAAGAGCTTTTTTAATTTGTGAGATAGATTGTAGAAAATGTAGCTACAAGCTCCAACAATGGTCACTTTTCTCGTCTCAAGAACGGTCCTCGTTTGCTGCCTATGAACCACTTAAGGTTTTCGATAAATAGGGCAAGTATGCCGATGCTGGCATGACCAGCGAGCACTCACGTATATCACACATCACTCCAGTGAGTCCAGGTAGGCACGAACAGGTGCCGGTGACGTGGTGGCATGCCTTCGGTTGGCCCGGCTCCGAACAATTGCATCGTTGCTCGCATTCGTAGCCGTACGTACCAGGTGAACACACTGTAACAGCACTGGTGCAACACAATGGCTGGTATCCGTCAAGGACCCGCCAGTACACAACTATTTGAAAACTATTCTAATCATTCACGTTTTCACAAAGTGGTCATGTCAAAAATCACTAAAAGAGGAAGGAGAACTGAATCGACGCACAGATCACATCACACATCGTGTATTTGAAGAAGTGCAAAAGTAACTGGTGCCTGAACCTGATAATTGCTGAATCATAATCTTGGAGAAGATGAAGGTTACTGTCAAAGGCAGTGAGCATGGTAACTCGATGTTGCTCAAATATGAAAGTCGAGAGGCGAGTGGTGCGACAGTAAGGAAGAAACCAAAAGCCGTCAAAAACGGAATATCACAAGATACGGAAATGCACCCTCAAAATGAAAGGGTGTCCCCCAAGAGGCCCATCGCGCGGCGAAGGAAGAGACGCAGACGCGGCAAAGGACGAGTCGCAGCGCATACTGTAGCGGTTAGGCGTCAGGTTAAATAGAGTGTACCATACTACGTCTCATATCGCACAGCACGCGCTGCGACTCGTCCTTTGCCGCATCTGCGTCTCTTCCTTCGCGCTCGACTGGGCCTCTTTTGGGACACCCGAAAAGGAGCGGTAATGATAGCGTTAGCCTCGCTCGAGCTTTCATTGGCGCATATATTTACGGTCGATATCTGAGAGTTGGGGTAGGTGTGTCACCGGATGTGACGGTGCGCATGATAGAATTTGCGTGGATAAGGTGTTGCCAACATGCTTTGCTGATATCCAGCCATGTAAGTTGAAAGCAGCTTATTCATACAGCTTCAATCAAGTGCGGCGATGGCTACGTCACTTTCGGAGACACTGCCCTGGTGATACCCCAACTCTCGGATATTGAGTATAAACACACTTCCCTGTTTGAAGGCAGTGAGCACAAAAGAGACTGGATATCAAAAAAGTATGAAGCGATTCGGTGACCATTGAGCAAGACTAGTGGAAGGGCGTCAGGAGAAGGTCCCTACCACGCTCTGTAGCGCGTCGAAAGGTCGGCTCCACCACGTCTAATAACGTCACTAAAAGCGCTACACCTTCCAGCCATCGTGTTCACTGCCTTTCACCACCCAATTTATCGTCACATATCATCACTGACTTTAAAAGTACAGCTCAAGTACTGACTGTTAAAAGTACAGCTCTAAGTACATCACTTTGGTGTAATTCTCGCATGCGGAAAAAAATGAAGATGTGACAGTGAAATGGTGGTGAGCGAAAAAGGAAGAAGTCATTGAATGCGATAAAATTAGAGGGTTTGCTCATTTTTGCTCTTCGGCTGTGTTAAGGCAACCATACATTGAGAGCGAAAATGAGAGGGTAGGCGAGAGAGGCCCAAAGAATGAGAGGGCGAAGACACGACAACAAAATATGGAGGCGTTGTAGCGAAAATGGGTGTCCCCCAAGAGGCCCATCGCGCGGCGAAGGAAGAGACGCAGACGCGGCAAAGGACGAGTCGCAGCGCATACTGTAGCGGTTAGGCGTCAGGTTAAATAGAGTGTACCATACTACGTCTCATATCGCACAGCACGCGCTGCGACTCGTCCTTTGCCGCGTCTGCGTCTCTTCCTTCGCCGCGCGATGGGCCTCTTGGGGGACACCCAGCAAAAATGGCACGGCCCCTGTCCCATACTTTCGAGCAGCGGAACCTGCATCAGCGACTTCAACGGGCAGCTCTAGCCCACCAGCCAAAAAATTGATTCACTTGAACTTATCGTGGGTATGCCTTTGAGGCAGAACTCTAACGAATCGCGTGAGCTATCAGTCACTGTTCGTTGCCACTTATTTTCCAGTAAACTTCTGACACCTCAAACCATAACTTCAAACATTTATTCTATACCAGATCGCGGCTCCCACTTAATGTTAGAACAAGTAGTGGGCTGCGCTACATTCAGGGCACTAGCGGTACGTATTCACACTTCCAATGGAGGGGAGGGGTAAGGTGGGGTGAGCGGTGGGTGAAAAATCTACTTGGTCCATGAAGCGCATCAGGACAATTGCACGCTCCTCACCAGGATAAGAGCAAGAAGACGGAAGCCGTCTGAAATATATTCCTGAAATGTCCCTCAATAAGAAAAGCGAGACCCCCCATTGTCCTCATCACCCTCAGAAAATCCATTACCCATCGACGAGGAGTCCAAGGAGAGCAACTTCA